TATAAAATTATGAAAAAAATAGGTAAAAAATAATAAATGATAAAATGTAAAAAAAAAGTAACAAATAAGAAAAAAATTATAACAAAAAAATAAGATAAATTATAATAAAGTAAAAGATAATCGGATAAATAAATATTTAAAAAAAGTTAAAAAATCAAAATAATAAAAACGTGATAAAAAAGTAAAAAAAAAAAGAAAAATTAGAGGTGCACCAAAAAGGAAATTTCAAAACTGAAATGAAAAATATTTTTTCGGTCCCATTCAGGAAGCCAGGCGGCATGTAATGACTTGCCCCTGGCTTCCTGATTAGCCGGGCAGCGTGTAAAGACTCGCCACCCGGCGTCCCGATTAGCAGGGAAGCCATCCCCGTACTTCTCGTCACTAGGTGACGAGAAAGCATGGAACCCGCTTTCTGGCCAATCGGGAAGCCGGGCGCTGTGTATTGACGCGGCGCCCGGCTTCCTGATTGGTCGGGAAGCTGGCTCCATGCTGCCTCGTCATGAGGTGCGACTTGTGGCTTCATCTGCCATTGTGGTTACTCCAAAAGGTGGTGCCATAACCCACGTGGTCAAGATCTAGAGATATTCATTGAACGCAGAAAAAAAGATTTTACGGTGAGTACAAAAAAATCCTTTTTTTTTAATTTTTTTTAAAATTTATCATACTCCCAGTTTTAATAGCCCGGGGTTAAGGCAGATTAATTTTAACACTTACGCAAAATATTCAAAAGTGAGGGGGAAAAAATTGTGCTACTCTTTGTCATTGCAACACAATCTGTGTTAGCAGATTATCAAGTGACCTCCTGTTAGTTGTAAAACTCAATTTTCATCCTCTGGCTGACTTCTTTTCACTATGAGTTCCACTTAATTGCAGAAACTGTCTTCTGGTCATGATTAGAAATATTGACAACCATTTCATTGTCCTTCTGCAGAACAAATCGAAGAGCTTCACAGAAAAATGCAAACGTTACAGGAGCATTTCCAGACCACAGAGTTCAGTTGGCAAGATGCACGGAAAGCTCTTGAAAGTGATTTGCAAATACGAGACCAAGCCATTGAAAACTGCAGGAAAGAGCAGGAGATGCTAATGGTGGACAAGAGTAAGACTGAAGCTGTTATTCAGGTAAATATGTGTCTATTCGGATGACATGTGCGTGAGCTTCAGGTCTCTTGTAGTCAATAAACAAAAAAAACAATGTCTAACAATGTCATTTTTTTTTGTGTACTCTGATCCAGAGACAAAATGTGATCATTCAAGAAATGCAACATAAATTGCATGAATTAAGCATAGAAAACAATACACATAAGGATACGGTGAGGCGACATAAAAGTGAGCTTGGATTAAACCTTGAAAGAGAAGAGCGAATAAAGAAGGAAGTTGAGGTAAATGATGCAACATATTGTAACTTGTCATAGTGCCAGATGATCAAGGCATGGTCCTGAATTTGAGATTGACCAGCTATGTACTTGTTCTTCATTTGTCAGTCATTAACATTGAGAAGCTTATATGTGGCTTTTCAAAACTATTTTAATGAAAACCTAAAAAGGGGCTTTTCATTTGCATTTTACTGACATTTATTTCTCATGACCCTGTCATCAAAAAATAGCTGCTAGGTACAAATTACAGGTATATATGACAGTGATTGGACATACTTAAAGCAGTATTAAACTCTCCAAACTTTTTTTCAATAATGAATCCAGGTCACACAAATATGCAATGCCCAGCAAAGCATTGCTTTACATTTTTGCCCAAACACTTAGTCATCATGTTTCTGAACAGCTGCTTCCGAGCTTCTCAGCTCGGCTTCCCTGAACTGCCTGTCCAGTACAAGATCACTAAGTACAGTGCAGACTGCAGCAACTGTTCATCTACTAGCTTGGAGGAGAGCGGGCCAGGGGGGAGGGAAGTAGCTTGATTTGCGGTGTCTGTGTGGTTTGTGGAGACTACTGTCACACACAAGGATTACTGCATAGCACTCTGCTCGACAAAGGAGGCACTCTAAAAACAGGAAGTCAGGACCAGGGGCGTAACAACCGCTTTGGGGCCCAGGGCAGAGGAGGGGTTGGGTCGGGAGGCCGGGGCTCAACAGCCAAGGAGGAGGAGGCCGAGGCCCAGTGGTGAAGGCTGGGGCCCGGCGGTGAAGTGATGCAGGCAACTTGAACATTTAAACGTCAAGAAACCGCATGCATTGTAAGTGATCTATTAGCTTAAAATCTTAGTAGCTTAAAAATTTGAAATAGCTTAAAATCTGTTTGACTTTAATATCACTTTAAAGCAGTTTGCTGGTCCCCCACTATGCTGTAGTGCAGACTACTGCCGGTATATGCAGTGCAATGAGATGCAATATAACATTATTGTTACTTTGTATTATTTACTCTATCATTTATATTAAGATCAAAGTGCTGACCTAATGTCAGCTAAATAAACTTTTTATTTTTTTTACATTTTTTGTCCTGATCAACCCCTTATTAACCATTTGTTAACCCTGAATAATGTGAAACCTCGCGCCACTACTCTAATCAAGTTAAGCAGCAGCTGAAATCTGTGGGGTCAGATATATCGTATGAAATTAGTGGTAAAAGCCGCGCTGTAAGAATGAAACCGCAAAAGTGTCAGATATAGTAGATATTGACCTTGAAGTAATGTGATACAATGTGTAAAAAATGAATGAAGAAACGCATGTATATAACATGCACCGTAGTGTAAATATAATTGCTACAAAATATCCATAATAGAAAAATCAAGTGCACTAAATATTAACTGTGAATCAATGTGATACAATGTGCAAAGAAAAACAACTAGAAAAACGCATGTGTATAACATGCACTACAGTGAAAAAAAATAAAAATGGTTAAAAATTGTCCATGATCCTGGATCTTCAATAGTCCATTAAGTAAATAGAAGATAAAACATTGGATGTAGAATAGACTCAGTCTCCTGTGACCATCAACAGAGAAATCTTCTGGAATGCACCTCACCGTTAGCAGAGACCCACCAGGGTCTGTATGCGCTGTTCCTCTAATTCGAACCAAGTAGAGGAAGCACCTGATCCCGAATACCTCCCAGTGATTTCCTCCTCTCAGGTACAGACTCTCTTGCAGTCTTAGGAATTGGAAGCAGACAATTCATCCGAGTGGCCCATGCATCAAATAAAAAATGGAGATTCGTAGTGCAGATGGTTTTAAAAGGATAATAAACTTTATTAAAAAAGGATACTACTCCCATATCCTAGATAAAAGTAAGGTATTTGGTAAGCAGCCACAGACACTGTGTGCAATCGCTCAGCTCCTCTACTCCTGGATATTTTGTAGCAATTATATTTACACTAAGGTGCATGTTATATACATGCGTTTCTTCATTCCTTTTTTACACATTGTATCACATTACTTCAAGGTCAATATCTACTATATCTGACACTTTTGCGGTTTCATTCTTACAGCGCGGCTTTTACCACTAATTTCATTTGTTAACCCTAATCAGCCCTTTTTAACTCATTCTCCCCTTAGCTATTATTTTTCTGCTGATTTCAATTTAGATTTCTACCATTCATTTTTGAACTTCTTTTTTTTTTTTCTCATTTCTATTAGGTTTTTTTTTTTGGTTAGTTTTTTGTGTCGCAATAAAACATGCACAAAAGTCATTGTATTTTTTGCTTTTTTTCACTCACAATTTGTATTTAATTTAAAAAAGAATACCAAAACAGTTAATGTAAACCAAATAACTGTGATTTGATATGTACTTTTGTCTTTTCAGGCAGCACGGGAGAGAGTGATGAAATTAGAGGAGAACATAGAGGCAGAAAGAGCAGCGCACCTTGAGTCCAAGTTTAATTCTGAGGTCATCCAGGTAGCATGTGAAGACATTTTATAAAATTCTATAAATGTTACACATTTTAATTGTTTAATATACATTATGATTAGAGTTCATATTCTATAACTACCTTATTGCCGTGTTCAATTTGAAGACTAACCCAGTTTCTGGCATGCTGCAGAGGTGCCTATTGTATCACATAAGTGTTTATCTCAAAATTCCCTAACACTGAAGCAAAAATTTAAGAGCCCATTCACACCATGGCGATCCATGCGATGCATTTAAAGAACAAGCTTTAACACATGTTATGTCAAGGCAGACCCAAAAAGCGAACCTGCCGCAGTGTTGCCAACACACCTCTCAGTAGTTTGCTTCCATCCATCGTAGTGTGCAATGCAGTGGTGTTGGGGTGCTATTCAAAATAAATGGCACCACAGTGCACCAATGCAAATTACTTTTGGTCAACAGCCTGGTGTGTAGAGGCCCAAGATTCCTTCACGTTAAATAAATTCATGTTTGTATTTTGACCGTGAGGACCAATGCTTTACTGTCATAAAGCCAGAGCCAGCCTGTGTGGCCGGAGTTCTGGACGTGCACCTACACATGCATATGCGCATCGTCCTGCACAGAGGATTGTGCGCGGCCGCATGTGCCCACGCAGAGGCACGCGGCTGCGCACAATCCTCTATGCAGGAGGATGCGCACATGCATGTGTAAGTGTCCATCCAGAACTCCGGCCATACAGGCTGACTGGCTTTATGACATATACTTTGTTTTGGGTGAGTTTTGGTAATAAGCAAAGCAGCCTTTTACATGTATTTTATTTTCATTATCAGTTGCGGATTCGGGATCTCGAGGCGTCTTTAGAAGTGGAAAGGGCCAGCCAAGCAGAAACGGCTACCCGTTTAGAGCTTATAAAAAATCAATTCAAAGAAGTGGAAATTGCCTATAATAGAGAAAAATCTATTGCAGGAGATGTGACAGACAAGCTTCAGAAGTAAGTGTGACACTACCATTACTAGTGAGTGTAAGCTTTTGTCTTCTTGTTATTGCACAGTAGTTCCCTTTTAGAATATTGAAATTTGAATGCTGTTTAGCATTTTTCCTATTGTAATAAAATGCTTTGACAAATAACAATGCTGCATTTTTTCTTAAGGAAAACCTCCTTTTTTTTTTAAACCTAAATTGTTCTGTTCTTGATTTTTAGATTGGAAAAAGAATATTCTTTCATGATGAATGAGTTCAAAGCAGAAATTGAGAATAAAAACAAGCTATTTACAGAGCTTTCTGCGAAACTAAGTAACTATGAGGAAAACTTTGCTTTGACAGAACAGAACCTTGCTATGGTAAGGCTTAAAATCATATTTGTGCAAAGATTAGACATCTTTTTTGTATAATGTCAGTATTCCTTTGTAAATGTATGTGATGTAGGTAGTATATTATTTCTACCTAATATACTTTGTATTGCCGATCATTTCTAATACCTTTTATAATTTTCTCACAGACTAAGAAACAACAGCTTTCTATAGAAGAGGCTTATGGATATATTGTAAAAGAACTGCAGGGATTGGTAGAGAGTTTCAGTATGTTAAGTCTCCCTGCTTCAGGTTAGTTAAAGGTGCAATGTGACAGATGCATTTCCTTTGTGAGAATGAAACGGCTGCCTTCTTAGGCCTTCTCCCTACATGTTCTTGTTTTGATGACAAGAATGAAGAAGTCTTCACAGCAGTGCTCTGTCCTGGATGTCAGGGTGAGAGGACTTTCTGTTCCTGGTCCTTAAGTTGACTGACTTAACCATACTCCTACTATCACAGTAGAAGGAGTATATGGATGCCCCATATAACTACAAACCATGCAAAGCAACAATGTTTTTTTACATTTTACCTGTACAATTCTTGATAAGATTTTCAAATTTTAAAATGTATACATTACCTTTAGTCATTAATGAATGACAGAGTCACTGTCTATGTATGTGTGTGTGTATATATATATATAGTATGTAACTTTAATCAGAAGGTTTTTATTTTACATTAACAAAAATTTTTAATATTGATTAAGTACAGGGTAAATAAACGAATGTAATAAAGTTGAAATGTTACTTAGATAAAGTAGACCACTAGCCAAAATTATACTTGACTCTGGCCTTGTTGTTTTGTAATAAAAATCTGTGAATGGACAGGTTTTGTAGTTCTCCCTGTATCATTTTTCATGGGCCTTTTACAATAACATGCATAGATATTGTACATTTCAAGGAGTATCTTGAATTTTCTTATTGATTTATAGTTGTAATAATCCTTTACCCTTACAACTTTAGACTTTTGTGAAGGCCACTGTTAAAACAGCAACCCAGGACCTGGCTAGCAATGGAGAGCTTGATAATTGGTTGTGTTTTATCATTATAAAATAACAAAAATAATTAAGCAGCTAAACAAATAAATTCTCATTTAAAAGGAAATAGAATCTAAAGTTGAATAATTTTTTTTGTCCTAACATTTTAAACTGTCCTGCTGTTATTTGCAGTTTCCTGCTTGTAGTTTATTATTCTCCATGTCTTCTTTAGGGACCTACAATGACAACCTTAAACCTACCAGACCTGCTGTCCTTGAGGCTTTAAGACATACCTTGACAGATTACCAAAACAGGCTGGAAAGCACATATAATGAGGTAACCCTGACAGCTTTTGGTAACAAACATGTGGCCTTTGACCTGTTGTAGATTTCCTTCCTACCTCATTTTAAAGGTCGGGAGTCTGGGATTTCAGACTTGATTTATTTTCTGTAAGAGAAATCAATCGGTTTTTTTTTTTGTTTTTTTTTCTTCTGACGTTGTATGAAGTTCTAAATTACAACATTATGAACTTGGGCTTTTCAGATTATTTATTCTTGTCAGACGTCATGTTGTATGTTCTGAGTTTTAAATTTGCCTTAGGTGCAAATATTCTGTCAATGGTAGTTGATTTCAGGTATTTAACACATAGTAGTTTTTTACTAATGTTAGTAATAATAATGTTTAACAAGTAATTGATCCAGTTTTCAAGAGCGTATGTGTCAAACAAGTGTATTAAAAGGAAAGTTGTACTAGGATCAATATGGAAGCTGCAACTGCTGACCCTTTTTTTTTTTTTTTTAAATGCTAGTTGCCTGGCTGTGTCTGTCTTCAGTTTTTTTTCTGAAGACGAATTTAAAAATCCTGAGCCCAGTGCATCAATAATAATAATCAGGGAACTAATATGTTTAGGAAAGGTCAGCATTGAAAGCTTTCACACATCCTAAACTACAAGTTCCTGTAAGCTACCAAAGTACAACGCCCTAATATCCTTGCAAAATCCCTACGGAAACTGCTTGAAAAGAGCCACATGAAAAAATGGTAAAAATCTCTGGCTATAGGGAGGAGATTCCAGCCACAACTGACGGATCCTTGGTGGACAGATCCCAATCTGCAGACATCTTTAATGTCATTAGATGCACTGCAAACAGACCCAGAATCACTAGTAGGATATGAACTGGGGCACCCTGTACTGCAGGACTTTCCCCTTCCTAAGAACCTACAGTTAAAGCCAGTGGCCGTGAAACAGGATAGCAAATCTATCCTTGGGACAGAAGATTCTGATCATCTGGTAGAACCCACAGAGTGTCTGCCATGACACTCTTACCGGGTCGGGGTACCACATCTACATGGGCCAGACTGGAGCAATGAAGATCACCGGACTGTCCTCCATCTTGATCCCGCAAAGCAGACTAGGAAGACGTTTCAGAGAGGAAAAGCATAGATCAGGGTGTACTGATCCCATGGAGCCTCCAGAGGACACTGCTTGAGCATCCCTGGAAACAAATGTGTCCAGTTTGCTGTTGAACCTGGAGGCGAGGAGGCACAAATCCAGTATCCTCCTCCAGTGACAGGTCCTGGAGAGAAACACTTTGGCCTGAGCTGCATCCAGATATAGACCCCCAATATTCCATACTTTATGTTGCTTGAAAGAACCCACGCTGTTTCCTGAACAGACGGTAATCTAAGTATCCCATAATGGGGAGGCCACAAGAACACAGCAGGGCCAGTACAGGGGCCAGCTGCTTTGTGTATACCTGAGGAACCGATGAGTGGGCAAAGGGCAGGGCCACGAACTGTTAGTGCAGGGACTCGAGGCAAAGAAACCTGTCCCGGCGAGAAGATTTAAAGGAGAACTATGAGATGAGTGATTTCCACTCACCTCATAGTTCTAGCCGACCTGTGACAATGAGACTGTCACAGGTCGGCTCAGTAGATCGGGAGGTGAGCGAACACATACCAGGTTCGCTCACCTCTCGATCCTGTCACGGCTCTCTGCCGTGACAGGGGGAGGGGCTGGATTCCCCTCTCCCCGCTCCGATCTGCCAGCGCTGACTGGCGGAACGGACGGGGGAGGGGGCGGGTACAGCTGGCTCTGCCTCTAGATAGGCAGAGCCAGCTGTCACTCACGCAGCTGGGCGGATCCCGTCATCTATGTCGGGATCCGCTCCGGCTGCGGCGTCTCAGTATACCGCGAGCTGTAGCTCGCGGTATACTGAGCTTAGGGTAACGGGAGGACGCTAGTTTGTGTCCTCCCGTTACCCTAAGGAGAACTATGGGGAAAAACACTGACCCCATAGTTCTCCTTTAATGTACAGCCATCTGTTCCACGTGCTCTATAAGTGAGGAATCAACCCCTAGATCAGTTAGAGATCTTTTCTTTTCAATAAGTTTTAGTGTGTTTTTAAAATGCAAAAGTAAGATACATAGGCACAGAGAACGTTCGTTGGTGTACAACCAGAATCAGCGCGGGGTAGGGCATCATAAGTTGTCTGCCCAAATGCCCCAAGCGGCATATATTGTTGGTATAATGTTGAAGATGGCAAAGTGACGCCCACATGCAGGACCACCTATAAAAACGAGCTCCAAGCCTATCAGTGGTGGGCTGACAATCAACAAGTAAAACACAAGAAATAAGGCACAGAAAGCTTAGAATGGAAAGTAAATAGAAGAAAGGGGGTTTGGGGGGGAACAGCAGGAGGGGAAGAGAACTTGGTGTACCCAGACCATGGTGTCTCATTGGCTCATATGTGTACAGAGCAGCTATAGCATTTGCCCACCTTTTTAAGGGCATATAGTTGGTTAATCAGGGGTGTTTTTTCCAGGTTTTGGGTAGAATTTGTTTTGCTGAATATTAATGTAATGAGTTTGCACTAAGTTGCTGTACAGCCCATGGATTTAAGGTTTAATAGTGCTTCCCAGGGATTACACTGTACCCAGTACTGTATATACAAGTTGGTAAGTCCCAATCCAGAAGGGTTTTAAATTATGTATTGCTGAAATGTAACTCGGTTCTGAAACTGTAATCGTCTCTCTTTCTCTTTTCCTTCTCTTTTTTTTCTCTCTATCTGTATATCTATATATCTCTATCTGTATATCGCTCTATCGCTATCTATATATCTCTATATACCTATATAGAGATATATCTATGGATATATCTATATATCTCATTAAAGGCTCTGTAGGTATATGTCCATGGAGATACAGTGCAGGAATGCTGAGATTTTACTTCTCCTTGTCTCCTTCAGCTGGAAAATGCAAAGCATGTCTGTGAAGAGTTAAAAGATGAAGTACATGGATCCAATCAGATAAAACAGTCTTTGCATAAAAAACTCGAGGTATACAATATCTTGTTGTCTTTTCCACTTTCAACACCTAAATAGGTTCATCATTCATAAATAAATATTGCGCTGCACTAAACGTCCTGCTCCTTCTGCCTTTAGAAATTCTGCCTAGAATGTTTCTTTACACATACTATATAAACGAGTAGAACTGTTTGTTTGTTTTTTTTGTTTTTTCTTTCTAGATTTTGTTTCTGTATGTCCTAACGTGAGTTGCCATGTGTTATTTTCAGCTTCATATAGAAACAAATGAATGATATGCTTACAGTAAGATTAAAGCCCATCTCTGAGGAAAACAAAGAAAGTGAGGTAGCCCCACTGCAAGAGTTAACCGCTTGTTTTTGTCTAGGGGCTGGAGTAAAGCAGATTTACTTGTATGATCCCCACTGCTGCGGGCTTTCTCTCGTGGCTGCTAGACCGGTCCCCAAAGCCTTTTCTCCCCTGGGCTCACACACAGTGGAAGGACCGCTGATTGGGGGAGG